AAGTCAAATTTCAGATCAAATAGAGGAGGGTCTGTAACTTCTGCTGGTTATGACATGATAATTGGGTTCAGGCTTCTCAGATTGTATTGGAATTGTTCCATTATGGAGAGAGGCATTGTAATTTATGTCTGAAGACTATCTTTGCTAGATGTCCTTATTCCTGTGTTTTACCCTGATTATGTGGGGTTTGTGTTGTATTAATATTATGTTTTCCCTAGTGTATATGCTTGCATTTTATGAGTCTTAATTTTCACTTTAATTGGCATGGATCGTGCTTCATTTAAAGTTGTGTTACTGGGATTTTTACCTGTTCCTTATTTTTCTTCCTGAACTCTCTCTGAACATAGGGGGAAGAAAACAAAAACAAAGGATGTCTCTGTTGAGCTCAGACTTTGAGATAGTCGATCTGTTCATTCCAGAAGCAGATGTGCTATTACTTAAAATTTCTCCAAAGGAACAAGTACATGGCTACTTTGGACCGAAAATCAGGGACTCTTAAAATGTCATTATTACTGAAATTCAGAAAAAGCTGATCAAAGCCACGGATTCCATAGGCACAACAAACAAACAAAGAAAAAAAAAGAAAAATAAAATAAAAATACCTTTTTTTTTTTTTAAATAAAAGTGTTTCTCTAGGAAATTACATGCTTTGATTGACAAAACCAAATGCACTTTGGTTGCGAAAAGCACTATTACTGTCTTGGATTTTTAAAAGGCATTTGAACTACGGTATAAGTGATGGTAGATTGTGCTGAACCAAATCTTTTATTTCAAATACAAAACATCTTTTTGGAAGGGCTGATGAACAGGATTTTGACTCAAACTTTTAAATGAGGCTGGTCAAATACTGCGTGTTCTCTTTTCCTCTTCTTTCTAGGCCACGCTCAAGTCATGAAATATTTACTGGGTAATGCTGTGGCCAGTTCTTGCTGAGAGTTACGTAGGCTTTGGGAAGCTGATGGATGCTAAAACTTCTGTTTGTGATATGATGCCATAATATGCTCAAAGGGTTCATCTCTCCTGTTGCAGAGTGTCTAATAGACATAAATCATATCCCTCACATAGGTGAGAGATATTCCCTCCACGCACCTTTGTTACCAAAGAGAACTTTTTCAGCTTCTAAGTGGAGAGGAATTTTAGCTCTTCTGTTGCTACTGTAGCTTCTGAATTGTCCCATCTTTCACTGATATTTGCATCAACAGATATAGAAAATGCTGGGTTTTTTTCCAGGTGTAGTAATTTAATGAGTAATTATAGCTTTTGAAATGAAATTTGCCAGAAGTTTCCCCAGTAGCGTAGCTCAAACTGTTCACTGTTCTCTATCTTTCCGTCTCTCTTCGGAAAAGCCATGGACTTCCCATCTGAAGACTTAGAAAAACAGATGGATTGAACCGTATTAAAAAATACTTTGGTAGCTGAGAGAATAAGAAATGGCAACTTAATTTTCAGAGTTATTTTTGGCTTCTTGTCGTAGAAAGCCTCCTATTTTTTGGCAATTTAAATGTGAATCAACTGGAAAGCTTAGCATAGGTAACAGTTCGTGTTGCTGGTGTAGTATCTAGGTTTATAAACATGTATAGAAATCTTATGTGGTTGAAAAGTCTTCATGGAAGTCTCAGTTGTGTTCTTTCCTGACAGAGTCTGGCAGAACTAGAAGTACTATGTAACCACCTCTATGAAGGAACTGATCTAGCACAGCGAATGCAAGCTGAGAAGGTACTCTTGGAGCTTATTGATAGCCCGGAATGCCTTAGCCAATGCCAACTGCTATTGGAACAAGGAACGGTGAGTAGCTGAAAGATGTGTTATCCATAAATGTAGCAGTTGTAGTTGTACTGACATAAATTTCTCAGTCATGGGCCATTATCATGTCTGTACGGTGAAGGCAAAATGCTTTTCTCTTTTGTGTACATACACTGTTTCAGACATTATTCTAGAAATTTTTTCATTTGGAGGTGGTCTTTGTAGAAGTGGCAGTACCTTGCATTAGAGATGTCAGGGACAAAAAGGGAAAGCATCTTAGCTTTCAGTGCTTTGAGAAGGGTTGTAGTCAGGGGTTGTGTCATCTCTAGAGCAGTGTTGGGACACAGTGTGGTATAACCTGGTGTTTGAACATCACCTTGTCCTTGTTTCTAGCTGTGAGCTAAATGAAAAAAAAGGTATTATAAAAAAATTCCCTGCACTGCTTGTCTGTTGTCTGTTCGTTTAAACTATTCTCTCATTACTCAGTTTCATTCCTGGTGTTTTATTTCATTGTTAATTCTAGATAAAGTGATAGAGGAGCTGATTCTTATTTCATAGTCCAACCTGAGTCTGGTATAATTCTTGCTGTGCTTTTCAAATAATTCAAAAAGAGAGAGAAAGAAAAAGAGGAAACACATTTAAAAATATCTTTAATCCAGGGCTGGACCCGTGGTAATCATCTCATGGTTCTAAATTTTCAAGTGATTTGAAAACAGGTTTCAAAACTAAATGACTCTACTGAATAGTGAAATTACTTTTAGATGGATGGTTTCCAACAACAGGGATGATTTTTTTAGGTCTCTGCTTTTTTGTTAGAGTTTTGTAGTTTATGCTTATTTATAATGAAACAAAGATACTACTAAAGCACGTATTTTATCCATTTTTGGTACAGTTAACAAACGTAAGCAAAACCCAATAACCAATCTGGTTTGTTGATTATTTAGCAGGTTTTTACTTATTGTCCCTCCCTTTAATTAGCTTATTTTTTTAATTATATATTTTGATGTGTTTTTGTAGACATCCTATGCTCAGCTTCTAGCAGCAACGTGCCTGTCTAAGCTTGTAAGCAGGGCATCTCCATTACCTATTGAACAAAGGATTGACATTCGTAAGTAACGTTTGTGGTTAAAATGTCATTCTATTAGTTGGATCTAAAACTTTTAAGTTAGCACAGTAACCATTCAGTGGATAGTCTGTTTTTTCTCTAGTTCTCTTCGTTTACCAAGCCTGTTACTCGTAAGGTAGTCATTGTGAGAGAGTGAACATAAAGGTCATTGTGAGATATTTCATAATTTCTCTGCAATTAGCTTACAAATAACATTTCCTAGTTTCAAAATTAAAATAGATATGTTAGCTCAGATTACTTCATATTCAAAAAAACCTCTCATTTTTTTTCAAGATAGACTTTGTATTTATCCCGCAAGACGCCAAAGAGATTTAGTTCATGTTTGTAAAGGCTGAAAGTTTAAGCTATTGCTAGTACCCTCGCCAGTCACTTACATGTGACGTTGCTTGTGATCAGCTCTTACCATTTGTAAAAGTCATGCCAGGACGGGTTCGTACTTGCAGGATTAAGATCCTACAAAATGCTTACTTTTTGGGACCCTCGTTAAAGTCATTGCTATATCCTAAAAGAGTAAGCAAGTATGGGTAGTAGTGAAAGAAGTAGTAGTCACTTTAGTAGTGAAAGGCTTTGCATGAGGAGCGTGTGATTCAGTTTGGATTTTTAGAGGGTGTGCACTGTTGTATCCGTTCTGTGGGTAACAGTACTCTGAAATGCACGGCTGAGAATCTGCTTCTGATAAAAGCGTGTTCTTTTAGGTAAAAATCAACTGCAATTGTATACATTCCAACAGCTTTTGAAACAGGTTAGCTTCCCTCTAGTTAGAGAGGAATTTCTGCAGCTGCAATGTGCATTACCTGAAGGGACGTTTTAGATTGCATTGGGAACATTCAGTAGGGACTCCGGTCTGAAAGAGCTTTTGAGTTGGCTGTGAGAGCTGCTGTTACATAGTGAAATAACCAGTGCCCAGTGTATGGGACTGTGATGAACAATTACTCTGTTTTACCTGCCAGTGTTCTCTGAACTCACAAGCTGTTGTCATGTGTTCTGGAATAATGGTCATGCAATGTAATTGTGTTACTAAATGTTTAGCTGTATTTAATGATCTGACGTAACTTACAGTTATTGTACTGACCATAAGCATGTAGGTGGTTTTTTTTAAATCCATGCCTTCAGTTTGTATTAGAACCATTGAATTCATTTTCTTTACAGAAGACTTGTGTTGCTGATTTTAAAATGCTTCTTTACAGGAAATTACATTCTGAACTATGTAGCATCTCAACCCAAACTGGCTCATTTTGTCATCCAAGCTCTTGTTCAAGTCATTGCTAAAATTACAAAATTAGGATGGTTTGAGGTACTAAAAGATCAGCTCATCTTCAGAGACATTATTGCTGATGTAAAAAAATTTTTGCAGGTAGGAAACAATCGTTCATTTCTGCCATTTTTTTCTGTTTGGACCTCTTCACTTTTATTGATTGGCATGTTGTGTCACTTGGTTGTTATACTCATGGGTGGAGAAAGTGTGAAGAGCCTTGCTTAAAACAGAAGATTGCCCTACGATGAAGAACCAGGGTGGGTTTGATACTTGTGCTAGGTTGTGGGGTTTGCATCCATAGTGCTGTCATGTTTGGTTGGTTGGTTTTCTTTTTCCAAAGCACTTTTTCACAGTGTCGTTGTAAAACATCAGCCCCTCTTGTCAAGCCATTCTATTTCATCATGCCTTAATTTTTTTCAACTGAAGTGGAGAAACATTTCTGATAGTGTTAATTCCAGTTACCTGGTTAGAAACACTGGTACTGCACCATCTGAAGAGTAAGACTGTCAAATGTTTTAAAGCACGAGTCTGGTTGTGGTTCTTGTAGTAATGACCACTAAAGCTGTGCCGAACTGTTCAGTTCTAGGACTAGTTCAAATGTATTTTTTCAAGTGCCTGTCATGGAGGCTTGATCAAAAAGATACCTTTATAAACTCTGTTGGTCACTGTTACGGTCTTATATTGTTGCTTTTCTGTATAAGCAGTGGGACACCTGCACTTTAATTTTTGGCAGAGGTCACTAGATACCCCTGCTTTTGAAGCTACTGAGGAGAGTGTGTGAAGACAGAGCTATGGCGCACAAAATTGCAAGACAGTGTATATATTTGTTATGTGGTCGTGGTCCTTGTTTGCTCCATTCCTTATTCATTTTATGAGAAATTGATGATTGATATTTGTGTGCATGGGTACTTGGATACATGTGAAGAGGAGTGAAAGAAAAAAAAAGGACATGCTATCTCTCCTAGGGTTATGGTGTACAAATAGGGAGATAGATAATAAATGAACTGAAGTTTTTATAACTTTACCTATTTTAGCATATGCATTTAAATCTAATGTGTGACAAAAATTATTAATTCTAGGTAGGGATATGGGGAAGTTCGGGAGGAAAGATCATTCATCTTCACTCTCCAATAATTGGATGAGACAGGAATGTTGTTTGACGTTTCCTTCTACATTATTTGCTGTTCCCCCACAGCGCTGGTCACTGTTAGAACAAAGATGCGTTACAGGATAGAGCGGGAATCTTGGTACATAGTATGTGAAAATGGGCAGTGATTTCTCCTAAGGCCAGAGTGCAGTCATTCGCTATGGACTGTTCACTGTGCAAATTTACGTATCAAATCTAGAGTAAGTACTGTCAGACAGAGAGGCTAAAGATACAGGATATGCAGCATCTTCTGTGAAGTAAGTTTGGAGAAAGGGTTGTTAGCCAGACTTGGTTATTTCATACATTTAACATGTATAAAAAGGTTCTTAAAAAGTTTTCTGGGAGATGGTTTATCTGCTTTAAAAGTTAGTACAGCTTAATCTTCCTGAATGTCTGTCTGAACGTAAAGCCTAATACTTACTTTGAGAAAAAAATCCGAAAATTTAAGATATTTGGAGATTTACTTCCAAAATGATTCATTATGTGTATATGTGTTGGTGATCCTGGCAACTCAGCAAGAAAATATGAAGTTAAGAGTTTATGTTTCTTGCCAGTAAGTTTCTCATTTGTTTTTCAGTCTTACTTTGTTTATAATACTGTTCACGTTGATGTAGTTCTTGAGGTACGTTGGGAATGTCTAATAAAAGATAAGTTGCAATATTCTGTTTATTAAAAACAAACTCAAGTATACCTCTCCACCATTTTGCAGTTATTTTTATGAATGTGCTGTAATTGGATTTTGCATTTATTATTAAAATGATTGCAGTGTGACTCTTCAGTGTGTAGCTCATTAAAAGTAGAGATTTAAATACAAAATTTAGCTTGAGAGATTTCTTTAGTTAAATTAAGAATTCCTGTAGAAAAGAAAATTAAGCCATAGATCTACTAGTGAATTAAATTTTAGATAAAAATTGAAAAAATAATCCCTGAACAATACTAATACATGTTAATAATTCGCATATGTTAGTTTCAAATACATATGCATTGGCATTCCAGACTGAAGTTCATCCAGGGTGAATTTGAGTGTGATTTAATATAGAAAAAGGGATTAACAGCTAGGTCTGCAGCTCTGTTCCCAGCTCCATAATTCACCACACAGCTTTTCACACCTGTAAAAAAGGGGAGGTTGCATTTTCCATTTTTTGCAGGTTTGTGTGATCTAAGGAATATTCATACAGACTATTTAAAGAATTTGAAATGTAAAGGAAAGTCGTGTTCAAATTAACAGTATAGGATGTTTAATCTTACTGAATGCAGGTGGGGCAACAATATAGATTTTGTCTGGGAGTTCTCTGAAATCTTCTCTTTTGCTTTGCTTTGGTGCAAGTGATAATACAAAATAGATGACAGTGAAAAGTTAAGCCCCTTGGTAAGTAGCCAGATTCATTAGCTGAACTTTGGGTGATAGTGAGAGTTGGAAAAATGAGTGTGGTTCTGACAAATAACAGGAAAATTTTGACAAGGATGACATTGCTCTTTGCGTACCAGGGGAGCTGAGGCTGCAGACTGCAGCAGTGAAAGTAGACGTAGGGATCTTGCCCCTGACTCAATGACAAGGCCTAATTGCAGTTGATTTTAATTGGTTTTAACAAAGCAGATTTAATTTTTCTATAAATGCTTTGTAGTGGCTCAGTACAGACAGCTATATTTTATTAATTAAATGCAAAATTCTGCATTATATCTGAATTTATAAACATTCCAAGGAATTTAAATACTGATGATCAGATTGCACCCTCAGATACAAATATCTGAGACCTACTGCCTGGCTTTTTAGACACAAGTCCTCAGAGATGGAATATATCGTTCAAATCAAACTAATGCAGTGTATACTACTGTGGAGGGAAGAGAATTAGGTTTTTTTTGATAGGTAGCGTTGTTTTTTTTTTTTTTTTCTGAGGGTGCCCCATGATCTTTTTCATCCATGTACAGTTCAATTTTTTTTTTTAATGGTTTGAATTTCATGCAGCTTGCCTTACCAGTTCTGGAATACTGAACAGACCTTTGAGAAATGTGTAATAGTGGATTTATAGATTGCGTTTACTTAGAGTCTATTTTCAGACAGGTTTTTGTTACTACACAGTTCTTAAAATTTATGCTGAGGGGTTTTTTTCAGAGCTAATTAGGGAGTTCGAAGGTCTCATTCTATTAATGTTGATAGAATTTGCCATAAAATCCTAAACAGCTTTGGATATCTCAACCTGAAAATTCCTCTTGATTCTAGAAATGTTGGAAAATACTAACCATAAGGTGTGATGTTTGAGCAATCCTGTCTGTTTTTTTCCATAGGGCACTGTGGACCATTATATAATAGGAGTAATGATTCTCTCAGAACTGACTCAGGAAATGAATCTAGTAAGCATGTTTGGGGTTTTTTTCTTCTGCAAGGGATGTATGTATAGCTGAGAAAGCAGTGTGTGGAAAGTTTCTGCCCTTCATAAAAGTGGTTGGAGAAACGTTTGTTAGACATGAAGGGATTAACACATCTTCCTCCTCCCACCAAGATAGATAAAGAGACAAGATGTTCCTAGTGCAGGGACTCTACCTGTACCAGATACATACCATATCTTATATGGGGTTAATTTTCTCTGTTATAGTCACTAGAACTAGTAAAACAAAGTGACTTACCAACTTTTTCAATTGTATTTCTGCTGATGATTTTCTTTTGCCTACATCTTAACCTGGGGAAGTCTCTCAGACCTTTCCATCCAGAGAGACAATCTTGAAGGGAAAAAAGGAGGCGCTTCAGGGATCTGTCAAGATCTGTATTTAGTGCTGGACCATAATTTTCATTTCGAGTGTCAATTAATCTGCCAGATATATCTATCATCTAGTTTTAGCAAAGAAGGGAGCATTGTTTATTCTGTCCTAACTTTTCTTAGGTTGATTATTCAAGACCTTCAGCAAAACATCGTAAAATAGCTACCTCATTCCGTGACACCTCTCTAAAGGACATACTGATGCTTGCGTGCTCTCTTTTGAAGGAGGTGAGGCTCTCTATATGAAACTAAATTGTTAACATCATAATTGTCCCAGTTTGAGTCCTTAATGTTTTCTGAGTGGATGAATTCTGTACTTAAATGGATTACATGACACCCAGTTAAGCTCAAGTGACCAAAAAAATGTTCAAAGACAAAAAGTCCAGTCTTCCTCCTCCACATCTCTTGCTCTCTCTCTCCGTCCTGTCTCTCTCTCTTTATATCCTGCTGTAAGGGATGAACTATCTAAATTCTGAGCTCATCTTCTCTTTTGATTTTTTTCTTAATTTAATTATATCTCAGTTTTGCTAGGCCTACCAATCTCAGTATTTGCTAAAAGAATTATTTATTAACTAGGAGCGACGAAGAAGAAAGACAAATTCTCTGTCGTGGTATGCCAGTGCAGTCAAACCTGGCCAAGGTGTTTTTCTCCTTCAGTAGTTCCCTTATCCTCTCTGTAACATTTTGGGGTAATTCAGGCTACAGCCTCTCAAGAGCCTTGACAGGAGATGGGGCAGAACAGCATGCTGTAAGCTAGGTCTCTCAGGACCAGGTAGGTTGACCTGAGATCAGAGCTGGAATTTGCCCTTTCTGTTTTATGCTGATCAAGACCCCCCACAGCAGTGGAGGTGGCACTGTGAGGTACCATTCTACTTCTCTTAAGCTCAAGGAATTCTTTGCTTTTGAGAGCAGCTCATTTTTTAAATGTTGCCTGATTTCTATTGTTTGACTTATTTTGGGAGTGCTGATTTATTCAGCTTTTCTGAAAACCACCAAATTAATTAGGTCTTGAAATTTGGACACAGCATTTAAGCTAAGAGTTTAAACACGGATGCCATCACAGTGGGTCAGTAGGTAATGGTAGCAGTTACTTTTTGGCTGAGTGTAATTCTCAAGGTTGAGAGATGCGATTGAGGTACTGCTGTAAAAAAGATAAACTCTGTTAGCTTAAATTTCTTTCACAGTATGTTTTTAGTCTAATTAGTGTGTTATACCTTATATTTGCAATAAGTTTAAAGGGCACATGTGATCAGCTACCGGGGCTCAGGTGACAGGCAATGTGTTTTTTTTAATATATAGAAGAATTAAATAGTGTGTAAGCCCTCACCTCTGAAGAGGGAATGCCCTGCTAATGTACGCAGGATGTTTTAAATCGGTGTTGGAATTGCATATTAATGGAGAAATCATATATAATTTAAAAGAATTGGATATTTTTGAAAGAATTTTCTTCGATATAGTAAACCTCATTACACGTCAAAAGAATAAAGATGTCTATGAGAACCTGTATCCTGTGTCAGCCACTTCTAGCTTTCTTTGAGTTCAGCTGGTCTACCGGTGCTCTTTTTAGTCTGTCATGTGTTGACAGGTTTGTCTGAGTGACATCACACAGATTTCCAGAAAGAAATTTGAAGAAAATTATAATTAGTATCTTTATAATGCTAACCTTAGTATAGGAAGCTGGTTTGAGGAATATTTCAGTGTCTAGAATACCCTGAAAAATACACTCAACTAACAAGTGTGGAGTCACTAAAATAATTCCAAGAGTTCAACAGTTACAGAGAGGATTGGTGGCAAAACAGGTTATGTTTATACAAGACATACAGAAATTCAATGTTGATTTTAAAGCTGAATTCGTGTTTTAGTGTCAATTCTAATGTGGTGCAACAGTTACAAGGTTAATGAGACATCTAATGGCACACAGTTGATTTTAGTTGCTATCATCTGAATTTAAAAACTTTTTGTTAATAAACTTGAGATGTGACTTTGAATCTAAATAAGGAGCAAATGAACTAGATAAATTTGTTGCCTTTGCATTTATTTTTTTGTTTTTCTAGACAAAATTATGTCAGTTTTCTTCTTAATGTTCATGAACTTCTTCAATGACTAATGAATTTGAAGTTTGTTTTCAGTACCTTTATATGGTGTAATCTTGAGGTAGTAATTTGTTTAAGAGAAAATGTTATTTAAATTATTGTAATTACAGAAAGGGATAGATAAAAATGTGTTCTTACTCACAATCTGTTGGGTATAGACTTCCAAATCCCAACAGCTTGTTTTGCTTACAAAGTACCTTTTTATTCTGACACTACCGGGGTTATAAAGCAGTAGAAATGCTGACAGCTGTATGTGTACAGGTGTTGTAAATAGCTGCAGTCAGATTACAGACTGTTCATTTCATTGTTTTTTTTTTAATGCCAGGTTTTTCCTAGACTTATCAAAGCAACAGGCTTTGAGTGTGCACACTGTGAAACTCGGGCGGTTTAGCAGCCTGGACATCAAACTCAAAAATAGCCAATTGTTGAGATTTTTTAAGCTATACAGTGTATATGAGCTATACTCCATGCTGGTCTGGAGTAACTGAAAGAGAAAAACATGAAACCTTACTGTTTAATTTTTGCGATGAACATCAGTGGTGTTTTAACAAACAGTGTCAGTGACATGCTGAGTTTTACCTGTAAGTATTTTATGCAAAAGGATTATTTCACCAGGCTCTTAAAAATTATTTATAAGTCTGGGAGCTTTAGCCTGAAATGGAAGGTGTCTCTCAGGTGGTAATGATGATTTTCGCATTGCCTTTAAGGAAAGACTATAGCTTTTATCATTGAAGGATTTATTTTTCTCTTAGTGTGTGTTCTCTTGCTCTGAACTTCGCAGTTTTATATGCAAACATTTTCCTGTTCAAAATTGTTTTTAAAGCATGTTCTGTGCGGGTGACCTAACAAGATTTCTTTTCTCCTTAGCTTTTGGCAAAACCTTTAACCCTTCAGGACCAACAGCAACAAAGTCTAGCCATGCAACTTTTGAAGCTTGTACTAAACTGTCTTAATTTTGATTTCATTGGAAATTCAGCTGATGAATCTGCAGATGACCTATGCACTGTGCAGATTCCAACAAACTGGAGAACAAGTAAGAAAGGCTCATAAGTTTAGCAGACTGAAGTCTATACCCAGTGGATTGTGTAATTTCTTTTGTCACAATACTTTACAAATATAAAATAGTTGTTAATGTGGAGTAGAGTTTTTTGCTGGTGAGTTACTGATAAACCTCTTCTGCCATTTCTCTCACGCTTTTCCTATTGTTATGTAGTCTGTAACACAGATATTTGCAGTAAATTGAATCCCATGGTAAAAAAGTAAATCCCGTAGGGTCACAGCCAACTTCGGGCATCCTCCTGCTCTGGCCTGGGGTCCTCCACAGGCTGCAGGTCAACATCTGCCCCACTGTTAACCTCCCTGGGCTGCAGGGGCACAGCCTGCCTCACCGTGGTCTTCACCACGGGCCGCAGGGGAATCTCTGCTCTGGCGCCTGGAGCACCTCCTCCCCCTCCTTCTTCACTGACCTTGGTGTCTGCAGGGCTGTTTCTCTCACATATTCTCACTCCTCTCTCTCCATCTGCAATTGCTGTTGCCCAGAGTTCCCTCCCCCACTTAAGTATATTATCCCAGAGGCGCTACCGCCATCGCTGATGGGCTCGGCCTTGGCCAGCAGCAAGTCTGTCTTCGAGCCTCTGGCATTGGCTCTATCAGACATAGGAGAAGCTTCCAGCAGCTTCTCAGAGGAGCCAGCCCTGTAGCCCCATCACTACCAGAACCTCGCCGTGGAAACCCCGTACAATGTCCAGGCTAGCTTTAATGAAATCACCTTGGGTAATGGATGCAGCACTAGCAGCGTGGAGGTCCTTACAGGCTAATTTATCCTGCTTCTCGGCAAAGTAAGCCTGCTTGGAAGTCTGTTCCATCTAGCTAAAGCAGCTATGCAGTTTCCCGTACACAAGATGCGAGGTTTAAATCTGGCTTACCTGTATAGCATGACACTCTAGTGTTTGATATTCATCGTTATTTCAATGATACTTTTCTTCCGTCAGTTTCCGTGCATAACCCCATTCCTTCTCCCAGTTTCCATGCATAACTCCATTCCTTCTCCATTAATGTACAGTAGTCTCCAATTGCAGTGTGAAGGATGAAGAGCAGTTATATATGGCAAGCAGGGGAGTACTGACAAAAGGCTGAATTTGGGCAAGGGAAAGCAATTTCCCAAGATACTCTAGGAAGGAGAAGGGGGTAGGTTTTCCCAAGATTTTGGTTTAGATACTTCTAAATTGTCCAGGGGGGAATCTCCCTTTAGTCATTAAACACTAGCCTAAGGAAATTAACCTTTGTTATGTGACACTTTATTTTACGGAGGTCTTCATGTAAAATAATACTTATAAATGGACCAACTTTGAAATGGTACTTAATTTGTGGGATTACTTAATTACAAATTATTTGTGAATTTTTTCTACCCTGTCATTACCTTCATGAGATAGTGTAATGTGAGAGTTCATCTGATGTGATTCCACAGTGAATTGGTAACTCGGTGTTTAAAGTATTTTTTTCCATTTATCAGTCTGTGGACTTCAGGATAGTCTGTGGAACTTTGGTCCAAAACTTGCCTTTGTTTAAATACAGACTAAACTAATCCTTAGTATCTGGGACCTGTTTTGTCTCAGTGTGCTACTGTAGTAACCTGAAGAAATCAGTTTACCTACATCTGTTACAGAACAGCATTCTGTAAGCAACTGACAAAGTATTGCATCATATGCAGTTTAAAGGAAGTATTCTTTGTGAGCTATAGCATAGATTAAATGTGATAAGAGAATAGTGCTTTGTTTAATATTGTACAATAATAATACATATAAAATAATTAATCTATTCAAAGTTTATTCTTGACTACAGTGATATCTCACTCTTGCTGTTTTTGTTAAAAGGTTGATTCTATTAAAATAAAGATACTTAATTGTTGCTTATAGAGAGTCATAAAACCAACTTATCTTTTTCCGTAGTCTTTCTGGAGCCAGAGACCTTGGACCTGTTTTTTGATTTGTATCATTCCCTTCCACCAATGCTGTCTCAGTTAGTAAGTGACACATGGTTATTTGCACTCAAGTAGTTATGGAAAATAGTCTTTTTACATCTATAGTTTGTCCAGAAGACCGTGTTTTATTCTGTGCATTAGCATGTTATGATTCCCCAGCTCAGTGCCCCATCACAATGTCTTTTCTTTGAACTTGAGCCCCAGTTTTCACTTCGGAATCTGAAAGCATTCAAATCCTTCCTCCTCCAGTTCAGCACTACTCAGCCGCATAGAAAACATCCACCCAATTATTTTGATGAACTCAGAAGCTGTTGTAAAAGGGAATTTTAAGAGAACCATATTTGAGTTCAATGATCATATAGACATTGTTGCAAAAATAATCTTCAGCCACAGCAGTAGGTTGGATTGCTCCAAACGTTGAGATGATTATGCTGAGAGTTTTAAGGGTTTTTTTTTAATCTTACAGTATTTTTTTTTTATTCTTCAGGCACTTTCTTGTTTAGTTCAGTTTGCTTCTACAAGGAGGTCTTTATTCAGCAATCCAGAACGTGCCAAATATCTTGGTAACCTAATCAAAGGAGTCAAACAAATACTTGAAAATCCACAGGTATCTCCTTATTTTTTATTTTATTTATTTGAAATACTAAAACAGCTGTGGATTTGTTTTTCCAGTTACAGTCTTCATTAATCTACTGAATCTATCAAAACCGCTTTCAGCCAGACGTCTGTTTGCTTTGATTTTCTGTTCAAAACAAAGCAAAATTTCTATGCAAATGAAATTGATGCCCAAATAACAGTAGTGCTTATAAAATTTCTGTTAGATTAAGCTGTTAACTTTTAAAAATTTGCTTCTTCAAATTTAGGGTTTATCTGATCCGGGTAATTACCATGAATTCTGTCGGTTTTTGGCTCGGCTAAAGACAAACTATCAACTAGGAGAGCTAGTAATGGTGAAAGATTATCCAGAGGTCATCCAACTTATAGCGAATTTTACTATTACTAGCCTACAGGTAAGAATATATGCAGAAGTGTTTTCTTTTCTTCAACTCTTGAATGACAAAGAAGACTGATCCTGGTTCTCTGTGTTGGTGTTTTTTGAGGAGGTGGTGAGGCTTGTCTTTACGTAAAAATACATTTTGTCAGTGATGTGACTCAGATTTCTAAATTCTCTAGAACTGGTTCCTGCTCTTCCTATTAAGTTTTGTAATGGGAGCAGATATAAAGAAGAAAATGACAACTGAGGTAGGAGATAGATGGATGTTAATTCTCCAGCCTTAGTCCTCACCCTCAAAAAATCCAACAGACTTTATCCAACCCTAAAATACTTATGGCTATGCTCCCAGGTACACTTCAGTTTGAAGTGCCTACACTGACCAGGTTCTTGAGTTCTGCTTTTGTGTGCATACATACGTACACATGCACACGCCATTGCCTATATGCTGAGCTGCTGAGTGCAAGTTGCTGTCTGAGCTGGATTCAGAAGCTATGTGGAAAAAGGTCTAAATTTTTGAGGGACCCACCTCTGTATGAGAAGGACATACATCACAGGCTCAAGATTCTTAGTGTTAAAAATTTTACATTTGAAACACACCAAGATAAAGGCATGCACACTGTTCGAGTAATACTCAAAATTGTTATTTTAGCATTTCCTCCAGAGTCTTTCTCTGGTCTTCAGAATAACAGCTGAAGATAGTGACCTTTAGGAGAAGATTTGAATTCCTGAGTTGCCAGTGGCAGCTCCATAAGCTTGGAAGAGATAAGAAAGTTGAGATGCATTTCTGTTGTTTACATTTCCTGTTAGGTGGCTCTAGGCAGTTTCCCACTCGATTTAGGTTTTTTGAATGGCCCTTTTATAGCACTTGAATCTCACCATGCACTTGTAAGAATCTAGGCCTCACTCTGAGTTTTGAATTGTGGATTTCACTTGAAGGAGGAGAAAGTGCCTACAAGTAATTCTGGATCTACTCTATAATGTGTACCATAGTATGTCTCAGTTCTGACTGAGTCCTTCAGTAGTTATGTGAATGAATAAGACTACTTAAGATAAAAGCATCATGTTTCTCAACTACAATTTCACACTGGGATGCTTTAACAGAAGTATGTTTTGTTTTCTTATAGCACTGGGAGTTCGCTCCAAATAGTGTTCATTATTTGCTAACTCTGTGGCAAAGAATGGTAGCATCTGTACCTTTTGTGAAAACGGCAGAACCCCACCTCTTAGATACATATGCACCTGAGATAACAAAAGCTTATATTACTTCTAGACTGGAATGTGTTCCTGTAGTTATAAGGTAAACATGTAATTGCAATTTTAAAACTGTACTATTGAATGTTTAATTTTCTGATTTGTTGGCGTATTATATTTTGGTTGTGTTTAAAATCTGAGTACGCTGGTTCTGATTACCATGGCGATTTCTTTAGATTATCTTAATTGGCTGATACCATTTTACTCTTTTTGCTTATTAAATCCAAGCTAAAATAAAATGTAAATTCTAATTGTTTTTCCTCTCACGGGCCTTTGTGTTTTGGAAAAAAAGCCTATTTCTCCCTCTCCCTTTTTTTAGGGCTGTCTAAATTAACTGTATTGTTCAGCTGTGACATGCTTTCTTGATGAGTCACTTTCTAGGGCCACGGAGGGTAGAGTAATCGGGGAAAGCAAAATGAAACCCACGCACAAGAAAGGGTGAGACTGAATAGAACAAGCTAGAAAGTGGCAAGATTAAAGTGGGCCAATTTAAAATTTCATGGTTCGAATCTTCTTTTTAATCATTTAAGTAAGTGACCTTACACTCCGTACTATAATACAGCAAATAAGAAAAATGTGTTTAGATTGCCAAAGAGCTTTTCTTCAAGGGCTTTTATGAATTCCTGGTGGTAGGATCTCCTGTCAGACTGTGGGACTGCAGAACAAGCCACATCTGGTTTTCCTTTTCAGTTTTACGTTAACGAGATGTCATTTGTTCAGTTTGTTTGAGGAAGTGCGTTAAACTTCACCATTGTCGTCCTTTTGTCTCAATTTAGCCGAAATCTCAAATAGTCTGCAAATAGTGTAGTCTGTCATTTTACTGTTTAGTGACTAAGTTATAGTTGGTGTTATTTGCCTTATGTTATCACCAGGCAGCCTTTTCTCAACCGGCCTACACTTCTTTTGGCGTTTTTAAGTTACCTTCTCTGTTCAGCCTTTCTGTAATGGAATCTCAGTGTTGAACCTTCATGTCTCAGCTTTCTTCTCTGCTGAGTGGTACATTCCGTATCAGCTTCCAGACTTGAAGTACTCAGTAGGGCTGAGCTTCTGAGCTGCATGCCGTATGGCATGACCAGCTCCACTGAAATGTACTGTTGTCTCCGTGAGCATCACTGTCAGCACTGAGAATTCATTTGCTTTGTTTGGAACTGATGAGAGGTTCTTCTGGATGTCATTGTTACATTGTGGAGGAGCAAGCTTTCTAGTCTGTGAAAAAAGCCGACAGGGAAAAGATGAGGAAAGTACTGATCTTCTCTTCTACCCCCCTGTATCATTCTCAAGACAATCTTGGTCATGCTGTTGGCATGTATCCATTCCTAGCTCTAAGTGATTCGTATACCACTGTTGTATTGTCGTATTCTTTTATGTGATGAAGATCCTCAGTTGAAGCATTTCTGTAGACAGCTGTATCAAATGTAGACTTTTAATATCAAACATCCAGACCATTCTTGAGAAACATGGGATGCCTGGGAGCTGGTTTCATAAGATTCCTTCTGTTTGCTCCAAGATTAATTGGAATATTTTTTTCTTTTTAATTGAAACCATTTTTCTTAACAAACCAGTGTAGTTGTTAATGTCGCCCTCCATTCAGGAGCCATCCATCTGGTCCTTCAGACAGAGAAAGAGGTAGCTTGGAACAATGGAAGGAAAATCACCTTTATCCTTTTGGGGACTTTGAATAGCTATTCTCCCTTTTGAGTAAGGATGAGTGAGGAACTGATGATTGTTCTTCAAAGGGTCTGCAAGAGGATGGTCTTCTACAAACTAGAAGGAGAACTTTAATTTCAGATGTTTTAAAATACCTGACGTCTGTGTCAGTCTGTCTTCAACATCAGGATTTTCGGCTGCGGTATATCTTTCAAAGTTTGGATGTTAGCACTGTTAGTTTCGTTAGCTTTTTGAATGTTATCTTTATCTATAGATTGTTTGTTTCCTGTGCAACAAAAGGATAACCTGATGAATAAACCTTTCCTGTTGTGATTTGTGTAATAAGTGTAGTTACACTTTATGGCAAGAGCTGTTGGTCTCTTTGTTATAGGCATTCCACAGAGTCACAGCTTGTTCACAGCAGAATAAAGTAAAGATTTATAAAGCAGTTGCATGGAATTTTGCTGAAGCTTGCTTGTTGGCGTTGGGATCATGGTCTCATGCAAAACCCAGTTCTACTAAGTATTCCATTCTTTCCTCCCATCATCTTGTGAGGAAGATGCTGCTTGTTAGTGTTCTGTTGAGACGCAGTGGACCTTAGTTCTTCGGGATTTACCTTTATGTGTTCCTACTGCCAACTTCTTCTCTGCTTTTTAAAATACACTTTAAGAGGAAGGCACAAATAGAATACTGTTCTGTGTTTGTGTGGATGTGTATGGGTATGTCTGTAAATAAAATGAGATCTTATGTCTGTCTGTTATATTCAGCAGCTGCTAAGGCTTTTATAGTTCAGCAATTCAGTGACACTGGTACAAGATCTGGATGGGAAAACAGCTTTTAAGCAACAGTGGCTAAGTGGTTACTTTTTCCTCTCTATTCCAGAGATGGCTTAGAAGATCCCCTGGATGATACAGCTACAGTTTTCCAACAGCTGGAGCAACTGTGCACAGTTAGCAGGTGTGAATACGAAAAGACCTGTACAATTCTTGTACAGTTGTTTGACCAAAATGCACAAAACTACCAAAAACTATTGCACTCTTCTAGTAGGAATCCATTAGAAATCACAGTTCAGGAAGGTTAGTATTTAATTGAGTTTTTAGACTGTGTGCCAATGACCATATACTTGCATATGAAAAAGAGTGGTGATCTGACGGCAGATGTAACTAGACCTGTTTCAAAATAGGAATTAATGATCCATGTCACCTTGCACCACATGATCACTAGTTGTCTTTGTATTAAGTAGGATATATTGGCAGTCGATGTGTTTGTTTTAACATTTTGTTACATCTTTAGAATACAAGCATGAGAGCTGTAGAAACTGTTGATGTCTGAAAATCAACATTTTAGTGCCTCAGGTGCTCTCACAGGACCAGGTGCAACTTGATGAACATTTTTTGAAAATGAATATGTTCTCTTTAGTTCTTTTTGCATTTATCTGTCTGTAAAAAATTAATGTAACATTAAAAACCTTAATTTATTTTATACAACTCTGTTAAGGTGTATTACCTAATTTTCAAGAAGCTCAAGTTATTTATTGTAGTGTAAGTTGTAAAAACAATAAGTACTTTTAATATATTTTTTTCATATACCTATTTTGGTCCTCTCTGTGTCTCACTTAAATTGTCTTTATAACTACTGGCTTTTTCCTAATATAGTTATCTTATGGCTGTTGCATCTTTACATGGATAAATGGTGTTGTTTTGAAAAGGTGAGACAGGTTACTGCATAATACAGCTGGTTTTTTGCATGCTATTAAATGTTTGTGATTTATTTCTTTTATTGGGTTTGAATATGCTGATTTTTTTCTATGTAGGAGCCTTTTTTCACTGATTTATATAAGACCGCCTACTTACCTTTTTTTTATTAATTCTACTTTCTTCCATGCACCTATCAACTTTTATTTGGGAGAACTTTCATTAATGGCCTGATTTTTCATTGACCAGCTGCAGCCTGAATTTATAGTCCATTCCCCAGTCACGGGGGGGCACAAGGAAAGAGTCTGCTGGAATCTTACAGTGTCAGTGCTCTGGGGATTGCTGTTCTGCGTTAGAAAACATTTGATGCAGTTTAAATATTGTGCTTCTTTTCTGCAAACTAAACATTTGTGCACGTATTGAACAATAACTGTTATATCCCCTAGATATACATAGTTAAATTTAGCCGTTTAATGGCTTTTAATGTTACGAAATAAGTTAATGTAATATTAAGATCTCATTTTATTATACTGTCTTGCTCTGTGTATCAATAGCGATGCGGTCATGGTTTACTAAAACAATAATCCCCAAGAAATGGGTCATTAACAGTAGTTAATGATTACTTATGATATATGGTAATGACTGATTTCTTTGGGATTATTGCTGTTATAAACCATAATTACAGATTATTACACCAATAATTATTTTCTAAAAGAAGTCTGCCTCAGTAATTGCAAAAGCAAATGCACTGAAAATTTTTAATAGTGAAGGTATACAAGAGGCAAAGAAGTCATACCTATTAACTGGTATTGGGCTAAGAGAAGAGGGCTATCAACAGAAAAATAGCTATGTACTTAAAAATGAGCTACTGCAATTTGTAAAAAGGAAGACAAGTTTTTATTTTAAAAAAGGCTGTTGGCCTAAGTGGTGAGTCTTGCCCTTTGAACTAACTCGCACCGCTTTGCAGTTGCTTTTTGATACCATCTTCAAATGGCTGTTCTTTAGTAGCTGTTACCGCTAAATTCATTTGAGCAATGTCTGTTCTTTTAGACACTTCAGCTCCCTGGTGTTTTGCTAATGATGGTGCAATCTCTTAGTGTCCTAAATTAACAGGTGTTTGCACTGCAACATGTAATGTGTCTGATGGGGTTTTCCTTGGAAGTGTCCTGTTTGTGAAGCAGCACAGGTCTTGAAACAGGGAAATATGTTGGTTGTGGATAACTGATACTGTCCTTCCAGATCATTAGGAATGGAACAGGAACAATATGAGAAGATATTTAGATATCTTGTCTAAAAAGTCAACATTTGTTCCCTGTCACAAAGTGCTTCCTGTTACAGATCTCAGGCTGTATTATGTATTGATGTGGTATATTTTTTTAAATAAGACAGAGATTTAAGATAAACTTGAATGCTGTCCTGTACTTGTGTTGAAATCATCTGCATGTTATTCCATACTCTGCATTTTTTTTTGTATATATTTGATCTCAGCGTCTTTTTTATGTATAGAACACACTGCACTATATACCTCTGACTGAAACAGAATTACTTACGATGTTTAGTCACTAGGCACAGGCCATAAGGATACCAGAACACCTCAGAAGTGTTAATTGTTTCTGGTTGAAGGAGCTTAGGAAGTAGAGTGTTCAGTGCTCTCTCAGTTCTGCATTTTTCAAAATACAACAATGCAAAACAGGAGGGGAATTAAGTGAAGTTTAATGTTATGTAAATGAAGACTAGTTTATCAGAGATTTGAAATTAATACAAAATAAAGCCTCAAGACTTTTGGTAGATACTGTGCGTGTCCTGATACCTATGTAGAAATGTCCAACATAAATTATAGTTTCACAGTCATAACGTGACCTTATTTGTTTATCTGTAGTTTATACCTTATGTCAAACTTCAAAATGAGTTCGGAAGATACTTTATTCATCAGGGTACTGTCTTCACTCTTGTAAGTTATGCTGTTGTCACTTGGTAAAATCCTAGTAAGGAGGGCAAGACATCTTCTAGTTTTTGTAAATATCTCACTGAGAAGCCTTGTTTGTAACTTAATTGTGGTGGTTTGGCCCTGGCCAGGTACCCACCAAAGCCACTCTATCACTCTCACCCCCTCAGCTGGACAGGGGAGAGAAAATATAACAACAGGCACGTGGGTCAGATAAAGACAGTTTAATGAAGCAAAAGCAAAACGAAAGATCTTATTCTCTACTTGCCATCAGCAGGCGATGTCCAGCCACTTCCTGGGAAGTAGGGCTCCGGTAGCGGTTGCTCCAGGCAACAAACGTGAAATGAATGTGTCTCCCCCCCTTCTTCCTGTTTTCCCCAGCTTATATCACTGGTATGGAATATCCCTTTGGACAGTCTGGGTCAGCTGTCCTGGCTATAGCCCCTCCCAAGTTTTTACCCACCCCCAGCCTACTGGGGAAATGTTGGGGAAACAGCCTTGGTGCTGGGTGAGCCCTGCTCAGCAGCAGTCGAAACACTGGTGTGTTATCCAGCTGCCCCTGCACAGCACGGTGAGGGCTGCACCTCAGGCAGACCCGTTAACATTGATTTAACTTAAATGGAAACTCTCCTAAGTTGTCTTCGCTGTGTTACTTTCAACCAATTCATTTTAATTTATTAAGAAGTATGTTTTGCCAAATGAAGATGGAGTCTAAAAGTAGCTTTTTGGTCCTATAGCCTTGGTGCATTTCAGTTGAGGAAGAAACCTTTAGCAGTATCCTGAAGTTTTAACAAGTCTATATGTTACTTTGCTATTCAGGTCTTAGTTTTGATCTTAGTTTAGGGAAATACATTGCATCTTTGCTGAGAGAGGATAACATTAGTTACTGGATTCACAGCTTAAAAAGCTGAAGCAGGAATCTGCATGGCTTGAGTAGGTATCAGTAGGTCAAATTTAAAGATATTTCACCTTAATGTGCCAGAGAGATTAAAATAATCCAGGTTTTGCAACATGGCAGCAGAGAGAGGCCAGAAGAATTCCCCCGAGTTCAGTGTTGGTAAATTTAAGTGTTCCATATTTATAAAGCGGGATTTCAGTATTTGAAAGTCTGTACAAAATACACTACATGCACAAACTCAAGGAGTTATTTATGGGACCTTAGCTTTACAGAAATTATGATCCTTACATTGTACTTCGTTCAATCAAGACTTTGCCAGTGGATCCTATAAGTGCTTCAGTGGAAACTGACAGCTAAATACTCTGGAAGATCGGAAGGCATGGCTTGAAATGGATGAGCTCTGTCTTTCAAACCCTTGTAGAGAACAGTCCAGTTACCTATAGAACAGAAACAGTATTTCAGAAACTCTTTTCTTGAAAAATACGTCTGACTTGCGACATGAATATTTTCTGATGTGCAAATCACTTCAGACAGTAGGTTAATGTTACAAGGAATTCTTTATTTTAAATAGAACTAAGAAACAAGTAGATTGTAGTGAGTCTCAATTACTTTGTAATGCTAAGTCGAGGTAACAGCTCCACAGTAGATAAAATTGTTCCATGCCTTGAAGTAACTTGTGGGAGGCAAGTGAGGATACTAGATTAATTGTATATCTCATCTTCCCAGGCTGAGTTTGCTTAATTTGTATTTTAGGTTAATTCTTTTTGTTCTATTTATAAGCATGTCCACGTTAATAGGCTGTTCTACTTTATCTGTCAGTTCTGCTCAGAACTTTTTGTTCGTTGATTTGTCTGGGTAGGCTTTAAGTCTGGTAAAGGGAGAAACTTAACCATTCTCTTGACAGCATTCCACAGTCAGGACTGCTGATACCTTATGGAAATGTATTGTACTAGCATAATGGTTTCTAATTGTTAACTGTTCTCTTTTTTTAATGTTAGGACGTCTGGCATGGCTTGTGTATTTTGTGGGTACTTTTGTGGGAGGACGATTAACATACACTAGTACTGATGAACACGATGCCATGGATGGAGAATTATCCTGTCGGTAAGTATTACTTGAATTAATTTGATTTTTTTAAATGACATTTAATATCAGCAGATATTTTGAATTTAAATATCTCAGGTTTTGTCCGGTTCTTGGATGGTGAGTGCTCAAAGACTATACTGACTTCCTGTGGACTGAGACCATTGCACTGGCTTTGATCTTTCCTGATTCATCATTCTAAGCAGTGAAGGGGTTATTAAGGCTATAATTTCAGAACTATATTTCAGAGGAAGGGAAGAGGATTAAAGGCAAATATGTCTCTTACTGTAAGCAGTGTTTAGATATGTCCGTGTAGCTACCTCTTTTCGTTTGTGCATGATACTTGTATGCAAGTGTTAATTTTATTGCTTGTGAGTTATGGCTCTTTTTCTGCACTACTCCCTTTATATTATTATTGCAGGTGAAGAAGTGCAGAGGAACTGCTGGTCAACTACTGAAAATTTGGACTTATTTTTAGACTAGAGTTTGAAATATAAAAGAAGGCTCTAGGTATAAAAATGTCTGTGCTAGAGTCTTCTTTCTGCAAGTTTTAGGGCAAGGGGTAAGCTAGGGCTTATTATGAAAGATATGTATTCTGTGTGGCAAACACTTCCTTAATCCTTGTTTTCACCCACAAGTATGTTAAAAAGACTTGCATATTTGATCCTGTTATTTACATCCGCTAGCTAAGACATGATAAAGGGCATACAACTTAGAACTGGATAAAAAGCTTTACATTTTCGTCTTTGTTTCTTGCCTTCCTAATCTACCCTGGGGCTCTGTGGTGTTAGAAGTCTTCCACTATGTTTTTATTAAAAGCGAGAGGTTTTAATATACAGACTTATAGATGAAGTACCTACTGACTTCTAATCCAGCGACTAAATATTTCAGAATGGACAGAAGGTGAGAATAATTTTTTGAATTGCTAGGGAATTAGGATTTCAAGGAATAGATGGCAGAAGAACATGGGAAATTAAATAAAGGACTATTCCTTTTTTAAAAAAAAAAGGTATTACATTTTCTTACCTCACAAAGGCTGAAATTGATTTTTTTTATATGAGTCCTGGTGATATGGAGGTATATACCAAGTAAGGATTTAGGTCAGAAACTACATGTTTGTTCAGATGTTTTAGGAGGGACAGCAGTGGGAAGAAGTGAGGCAAACAGTGCATTATATACTGCGTATGTAAACTTCTAGTGAGTGCAATAGTTTCAATTTCCAGGGAACTTGAACAGCTCTACTAATCTTGCACTTGCAGTTTGAGACCCATGCTTCTCAAATTTCTTTGTTTCTTTCATCGTGGAATTGATTCTCCAAGAAAGAAAAAAAACATTTTGCAAACTCACCACAGTATAACATAGGTATCTGAGAAAATGTCAAGTGACAAAGTAATTAGAAAAGTATGATGTTGATGTTTATGTTTAATAGTGGTCAATTAGCATAATTAGTGTCCAAACAAAATAAAATCCTAGAAGAAACTTAGGCAGACAAAAAATGGCTGATGGGTACCTAAAGAAATTAGCTGTGACAATATAATTTCATTTGAGAATTCTTCCTGAAAATATTTTTTTCCTGTCATTAAGCGTTTTTCAGCTGATATCTTTGATGGATGCCCAGTTACCACAGTCTAGTAATGAAAAAGTAGAACTGGCAATTCTGTGGTTCTTGGATCAGTTCCGTAAAACGTATGTGGGAGACCAGCTTCAGCACACCTCAAAGGTAAATACTTGCTGTAAACCACATCATTTGAAATGAAAAAAAGCCTGTGCAGAGAGTGACCTGCCAATGTATCTTACACCTAAAAGCTGTTGAGCTTAGCTGGGGGCTGATTGGCCAGATGGAGAGATAGATGGATAGATAGATAACTTATTAGTGCAGCGTCATCTGAGCGGGCTTCCTACCATGTATGCTTTTGAGTTTTGGCACTCTAGGAGTTAATATTTTAACAGCTATGTTCATTAAACAACTTTAGGTTACTTTGCATTTCAATTTTTTATCTCAAACATTTAGCTGGGTTCTGCTATATTGTGTTATATTTCACAGCTGGGTACACAAGATTTATTCTTTTAATAGTTCTGTTCTTTTGACAGTTAGTCATTTATGTGGTTTCCACTGTATTTCTCACATTACTTGGCTTTTCTGCATTTTAAATAGGGAAGAGGGAAAAGTAAGATGCATTTTTGAAGAAGCAGCAGTTAATTCACCTTAACTGTAGGGGACAGTCATAATATAGATTTTATAAAGAGAATGTCAGTAAGATGAGATCAATTGATCTTGAGAAAGACTGAAAGAATTCTGTTGGAGCCCCAAGCAAATCTTCAGCAAGAATTGTGACAGTGACTGAGATTTGGTTTTACTTGTGTAGTACTCTATCCTTGCTTTCTGGTAAGCGCTCTCAATCTCAAGGATTCTTTTATCCCTTCAGGTTTGAACTGTGCTTCAACTTTATTGAATGGTTCCTCACTTAATATTAAAAATAAAGTTTTACACTATGCTGAATTACTTTTTCATGAAAGCAAGGTGTTCCTTTCAGTTGTCAAAGCTGTTTTGTTATTTTTAAATATGGTGCACTGCTCTAATGTTAAGTAACAGAAGGTACACAGTAAAAATGTACTCATGCTCCTGGAATTTTCTTTAGCAAAACTCATGCTGATGGCAATACAAAGGGAACATGGCTGTACAGCAGTTGTTATTCTGATCTGTAATCCCTGGATTATTATTTCTTTCTATCTGATTCTGAGAGTTTTCATGTCACCTTATATTCTGACTGATGGAGGTGTAGCTGTGTGGAGAAGCCCTGTCAGTGTATAGTATGCTATAGCAGATTGTTATAGGAGATTGTATACCCAAGCTTTTTATGTGCATCCCTATAGAAAGCTGGAAGAAGTGTTTGCGTCTGGGTGAAATAGCAGGCAAAAAACCAAAGTGCATTATTTATACTTCTTCACCTGCAGCTCCGTTGTCAGTAGAAAAAAATGTGAAACTTGAAAGTCTGCCAGCCATGCCAGAATTCAGTACCTATGAGTTTATCCAGCTCAGCAATGTGTTTGAATAACCTAAGACTGCCTCTGCGATTGCGATGTGTGTGGAAGGTTAGATGGTTAATTACCGAGTAAAATGCTGGCTAATGTTTCCATTTGATTTATTGAAGAGCACTCTGCACAGAAAGAATTAACTTTTACCAGAAGGACATGTGGGAAAACTGTAGGGTGAATTTAAGAAAACAGTTTTGTGTTCTTTTGTGACATCATTTTGGTTTTTCCCTCCCTGCTCCGATAAGTGAACGTGAATCAAACTAGTAACGTATCATACTCTGTATACTGCCTTTGCTGCCGACGTGTGTCTTGTCTATAACCAGACTTGGAAAGTGGGAATTTTGCAAGGCTTTCATGGGGCATAACAGTTCAAGGCGTGTTTCAAAATTCTAGCCCCAGTCTAGCAACTCCGTAGTTCACTGCAAATGCATTTTCAAAGTGTGGTTTGGGTTTTTTATGGTTTGATTACATGGTTTGCAGTCAAATTACACTTTATTTTTTGTTTTGTTCTAGTAGGCCTGATACAGCAGCCTCTTGTTTGCGTTGATAGCATCCCATCATCCATATCCCATTATTTTACCAGATCTTGTAACAAAAGCTGTGGTAAAGGCATCTGAGCTCCCAGTTTGCGTGTTTTTTTTAAATTTTTAATAAAACAAAATGAGATGGTTCTATACATTTTACAGTTAAGGGGAAGGCAGAAGGCAGCACTTGTATGATTCTTCTGTTGTATCCTGCTGTAGCAGCAAGTATAGCAGCAGATGGCATTCTACTCTTGCAGTTGTAAATCCTCTGATACTGTCTTGCTGGCAGCTATCTACAAATATGCAATAAAAAGGCTCGCACTTGGAAGCAGAACAATCAGACGTATATCAAATGACTAAGTTAATATACATTGATATAAATATTCAGGATTGCTTGAGTTGTTTTATTTACAGAATGGATAATGGAAATTCTGCACACTTCAACCATATTGAAATAATTTTTGAGAATATTTCTCTATTTGATCGTACGCTTGCATACAGAAAAACGGACAATGGTTAGAGAAGGCTGAATAGTCTGAAATTGTAGAAGAAGTCTTCTGTATAAATATACAAATTTTGTTCATTAATTAACTCATATTCTTATGTATATGCATATAATAAAAGGAAACTCATTATAGAAAAAGAAAATTGTCTGGGTAAATTAATGCATTCTTATTAAGCAGTCACTGGGGCTTGCTGTCTAAGGAACAGCAAAACCTTGGAGATCTCTTCCATGGTACTATAATATACTTTTAGTACCATTACATTTCCAATACAAGAATAATAGATCAAGCTAATGTCTTTTGGATCAGATAGACCTCTGAATGAATATATATATTACATTTCTGTTGAATACTAGACTGGATTCTCTGGTACTGTACAGCACTATTAATATCTATTTGTCTATCAATACATGTCTTGTTTTAATGCTGATATGACTTAGCCTTTGTAGAGTCATCTTTTTGTGGTATATTTCTGATTTGGCTGCTGGTAGAGCAGTAGAAAATAAGTTGGCTGGCAAGGCACTGTGCTGTGCTTTACTGACGTAGTCTCAGCTTCTGTCTGTGGTAGCTGGAGCATTACTGTAGTGTGCCACTGTTAGCCGCTACTGTAAGTGGCGTAATATGCATTGAAATCTGATTCCTGACATCAGTGTTATTTATTAGACAAAAAACATTGCTGTTTTGAATGAGTCTTTTCCTTTGCCATATTCTTAACATACCAACAAATGTACAATTATTTATTTGTATTTGCAAGGGACACTGGAGTGGGAGGAAATGATCACAAAGGACAGGATTTGACTTCAGGAAGATCTTCATAAGCTGGAGAAATAATGTGAAAGTTTAAAATGTTGGTGAAACACCATGATTAGGAATGAAAATTCCCTCTTACAACTACCACTGGGAAATTCTAACCAGGCAGCAGCTGTGGAGAGTAAGCAGGGTAACTCAGCAGCATGTGTTGTTTTTGCACGCGAGAAAACTACAACATCTTCGTGGCTGAAGTAGCAGGGAAATTGTGTCAGGTGCTGGAATTTCTTACTCAGTTCTGAGTATTTGGTTCTGATTGGGCTTCAGCTGGAGAAAAAGTGTCCAGTTTTGAGGACCACGCTTTTGAGAAAACTGTAGGCAGATGGGACAGTACGGCAACACAAATAAGATGCAGAAGATACCGCTTCGGTTTGGTTTAGCAAATAGAGTATTGGGGTGGGACAGAGATCAAAGATGTCAAGAGTTGTTTTAGAAATGCTAGCGATCGGGTGTTTTCAGTGTCCTTCAAGGGAAAGACAGGCTGTAATTGGCTTAATTTGTGGCAAGGAAGACCTAAGGAAAGCTTTTTAACTGTACCAGTAAGGGAGTACTGGTGCATACTACCCAGAATGCTATGGGGGCTTTTGATTTATGTCCAGGTATTCTTAATTCATTCTTCCATAAGTACAGAATAAACCAGAAGTCCTGCTGGTCTAATCTCATGCTTCATAATAAGACTGTTATAAATGGTCATGGTTGGTTGCTGTGGCTTAGCCAGTGAAAAGCATGCTTAGCAAGCCCCCCTGTTTGTATCGTGTGTTGTGTCGGTCAGCCACCAATAAGGAATTTTTCTGTTATTTCAGGATTTTATTTTAGCCTGGCATGTTTCAAGTAACTCATTACCGCCCTTTTAAAAGGAAAAAGAATGTGAGTACTAAGAGTGGCAGGAATTACGGTATTTCTGAACACGGAGAGTTGGCAGAGGAGAGTGACTCCTTTTCCAGTGCAAAACGTGAGTTCACTCCTCATTTGTCTGTGCTAAGGAAGATCTCTTCTTAGTTATCCAGCCACAAGTGGGGCTTCTACTGAATAGCCTGCGGTTTAGAGAGGCTATGGTGACATCTCTGCTAAGCTGCATAATTTCCCATGGCAAGAAATTAGTTGGGGGTGCTAAGCATATATTTTTAGCTGCCTTTTTTATTGTGGGTTAGAGCAGAGTTGTCACTTAATGAGAAGGTGCTTCGTGAGTTACAATGCAAGTTCTTACCTTGCTGTGGCAGGTAGACCAGATCTTGAGGTCTGCTCCATGTGCCTGAATGCTGCAGAGTGTATTTGTTAACACAGATAATAAATATAATTTAACATTTTTGTACCTGGGACACTCATTTAGGCTAAACAAGGATAAAAAGGCAAGACTTGTTAGCCTGGACCTTTTCATGCTTCCAGACACATCAGAGATTTGTCCTTCTTAGCCTTCCCTAGAGTGGTTCAGACTGTATCTATTCCAGACTCCCGCCGGGGGAAGGCTGGGTCAGCAGCTGATGGCATGGGCGGGCATGTTTGGCTCTCTGACTGTCTCTAATTGGTAGCGAGAGATTGCCAAGAGTAAATCAAAACTGTAACTTGTTGGATAAATTTTGCCAATTAATATATCATAGGAAATACAACTTAGCGAAGTTACTTACTAAAATGAATTAAGTTAATTTAGAATTGTATCTTAAACTTGAAACAAGTTTAACACTGAAGTGTCTTCATAATCTAGAGTCCTGACACTTTTAACAGTCTTCAGTTCAGTTTTTTTTATCTATGCAGCTTAGGTGATTTTATGAAAAAGGTGGGTTTGGTTGAAGCTTTTCTCTTGAGGTACGATCAAGAGTTATTCTAATAGTGTGCTCTTGAAAAATGTATGC